CAGCACCAAACCTGACAGAGTTCAAGAAGTATTTGGATGATATTCTTGGGCACACGGTGTGACTCTTGGGGATGGTCCAGTGCAGGGTCAGGAGCTGGACTCGGTGGGTCCCTTCCAACTCAACATATTCTGTGATTCTATGTGATTCTGTGATTCTATAATATGGGGTATATGAAGTGAGATAAAGAGGAGAAATACCATCGAGTTTTCTTTTTATCTATAACACTTAGGTGACACAGGAGTGTCAGACCACTTGAGAGTAAAGCAGGTCTTCTTAAATCCTTACCATTTAAAGACTTTAGTATCTCCTTCAGAAATTTCTAAAACATATTTTTGGCAAAGTACTTCATGGCTTTACAGCACTAGGTTTTGGCATCTGGTCTCCTCCTATAAAGAGCTCACTAAAAATCATTACATTGTTTATAAATTAAATCAGTTCTTCCATGCTAAAAATTATTAAGTTTTCAGGTCTATGATCTCAATCTTTCAGGGAACTGAAAGTGTTAATCACATTGAAAGAAAGTTCTCTATTTCCTGTGGGAGAGAATACTATAATATTCTGGACTTTAACAATTATCCTTGACATAAAAATGCTTGTATTTAACAGCCCTTGAGAGAATCTTACTCCCTTCAGAGGACCTGCAAAGCAGCAATTAGTATCCATGAGAATTTCACATGGCACAGAAAAGAAATGATCTTGCCTGTTATAATTTTTAATGGCAGCTCCTAGCTCAGTGTTGTGGAGAGACCCCTGGAGCAGAGACCAAATGGAGGGGGCAGCAAAGGGACAAGATAAAATAATCTGTCACATGGCTATATGGTTTATGGCATTTCCATATTTTTTTCTCGTACTCCTATCACCCACACATACAGTCAGCAGAGAAAGGAACAAGTATCCGCAGTGGAAATTATGCTACTGAATTTCCAAGGACAGATGCAGGGCATTGACATGAGAAAAAATCGGGTCAAATCAGACTGAATCATATAATGTAAGATGATTAACATACCTGCGAAAAAGAACATATAGGCAAAGCAGCATGAATGATGACTTCATGGAATGTGTTTTGAATAATATTCAGGGTTAACTCTAGTTCACAGAAATAAACCTAATCTCAGTGTACTTGGAGTAATAACTGCAAATGATGCTCTTAAAGAGCTGCCCTAACAGACTCAGAAGCTGCCTCAGCACTTAGAGCCAACAAAGCACGGAGAAGGCTAAGCAGGAGTAATGCTAGCAAGATCAAACTGACCTAGTCTCATCCCAGTGCTTATCACAAATAACTTGATGTCTGCTAGGGGCTCACTGGGGGAAGAACCACAAATCCCAGCGGAAGCTAATGTGTGTCTGAGAAAGCACATCACATATTGTGTTCTGGTAACCAACCTTGGTGTGCCAGTAGAGCCCCTGGACATCCAATCAGCTAAGAGGAACTGATGAGCCCCAAAAAGAATTTCAAGAAAAAGGACAGGAAATATATGTGCAATGCCAAGTACATTTTTTTCCAAGCACACTTTTTTCCAGAACACAGAGCTTGGTGTTTATTTGCTTACATCACTTGTAAAAAGTGAAGAAAGCATGAGAGCATTAGAGGTGTTCAGGGAGCAGCTCACCCATCTCTATCAAATTATGCAGGTCAATGGTTGGTCCACATTAAATATTGATAGAATAAATAGTGTCTTTCAACAAAGACTTGGGTTACGTTAGCACTTGCTGAACTCATGGCAAACTTACACAATTCCTCATCTGGGTATAACCATGGCAGAAAACTAAAATAGGTAATACATAGATGTGAAAAGCACATGTTTATATTATTTAATATAGGATAGGTAATTGCCTTTGGTGGTCATGATGTCTAATGTGGTTATTAAAGAGTAAAGAATGTTTCATAGCATCTACTTTATCATGATTTGATTAGATGGACTCAAGGGCAAGTAAATCTTCTGTCAGAATTGGAGACAACCAACATAAAGTCTCTCAGGCACAGCCTGTATGCTAATGGTATTCAAATGGATGACTAGAAATTGTCCTATTAAAGCTTTCCAATATGTGGTTTCAATTTTTACATATATATTGCTGTCTCTTGTTGCCTTTCTGCAGTAATCCACTGGTTCACAATCACAAATTACTGCAGAAAGGCAACAAGAGACAGCAATATATATGTAAAAATTGAAAGCTCAGGCTAAGTATATTAGGTAAAATCCTGCAGCCATTACTCTTCTTCCCCTCCTCCCCACATGCATATTTAGATAACTGACTTGCTTAAGCATCTTTAAATAATTAAACATCTTCAGCATTCCAGCAACTCTCAGGCTATTTTCAAACAAAAGATACATTTCCAGGCTTTCACTGGAAGCTACTAGCTTGGTCTGCCTGGGCCTGTGCTACAGAAAGCCATAGGAATTCCTCTGACTTGACTCAGTGTTCATTGTGTAAATGAAGTGGCATGTATTCATGCCAGCTCCCCTCTGACTGGGGCTGTGCAGATACCCAAATTCTCTTTTAAGTCAGTCTCTACATCTTCAGTCCATTCAGTTAATTTGGATTATTTGGACTCAATTTCAGCTTTTAATGGCAAAGTGTAACTTAATCCTCAGGAAGCAATGGATTTCAAGGGGACTGCTCAAAGAATCAGTTCTTAGTTGATGTTGAGCAAGGGCAACAGCCACAAAACTGCAGTTCCTGCTTGCAAAAATTCTCCTGAGCACCACAGTATAAACACTGACCAAAAGAACCAGACACAAACATACGGCAATTATAAGCAATAATAATTCTTCGACTTCTATCTTAGTGTGATGAAACACAATTTAAACAGCCTAAAGAACTGTTCCTAAATGTACATGTCTATACAGACATCTTAAACCACAAGTTACAGAAGTTATTGTATTATAGAAATTGTTCTTAGCAAAGAAAATGGTACTACTATTGTCTTTAACAAGGTAGGACCAAGGCCTGGATAAAAAGATGGCAACAACGTTTCTCTGAAAGTTCATAATTAATTTCAGATAACACATGCATAAATCTAAATGACAGGATGACTAGAAGTGATGTTATACTCATGGGGACTATGTTTAGAGAACTAGAAAGGGCAGCAAAGACATATATTTAAAATAAATTATGCATGGGAAGACGTTGAAGAATTGCAAAGAGTAAATTTCAAACTACAGGTAACAGTAGTAGAGCACCCTGTGTATCCTTAATACTGCATCTATACCAAAGCAGCATAAAGAATATAGTGTCCTAAATCTATATATTGACAATAGAATGCATTTTCAATAGTTAATTGGCAAGTTATTTCAGTTTTCATAAGAAAAAAAAGAGGCAAGTGAACCTGAATCAGCACATATGTGCTGGTTAAAATGAGCACATACCTAGAACCAAGTGAGTTGCAGCAAGAACTGTCTCCTGCCCAGCCAGTTTTCAGGAGTTTTGAGAAATGTTTAACAGCACTGCAGGTCTTTGGAGCAAGTGAAATGGGTGAGGGGCCTCATAGCACAGACAGAGGAAACATTGGACTTACTGTGAAAGTGAGGAAACTCTCTGATTTGTGATAGGGGAAGATGGACTAGACTCTCATAAAGAATCCAATAGCATGTTTCCTCTATTAATAGTAATGCAAGCATTCAGGCAACCAAAGGATCAAAGTACAGGCTATGAACTCTCATTTTTGTAGAGAAGTATATCTTTCAAATCTACACAAGCTTCCAGTAGCTATATCAATGTGCATTATTTTGTTTGTTAAAGAACAGAGGATCCCTGCATCTCCCAGGTAACAGTCTGGCACCTTTCACAAGCATTAAAACTATTTAGAATCATAGAATTGTTAAGGTTGGAAATGACCTTTAAGATCAGCAAGTTCAACCATTAATAAAGCACTGCTAAGTCCACCAGTAAACCATATTTCTGACTGCCACATCTACACATTTTTTAAATATCTTCATACTCCACCACTTTTCTGGACAGGCTGTCCTAGCACTTGACAACTCCTTCAGTGAAGAAATTTTTCCTAAAATCCAATCTAAGCCTCCCCTGGCGCAACTTTGAGGACACTTCTTCTTGTCCTGACACTTGTTACCTGGAGGAGAGACCGACTCCCACCTCTCTACAACCTCCTTTCAGAGCATTGCAGAGAGTGATAAAGTCTCCCCTGATTCTTCTTTTCTCCAGACTAGTTAATGCAAATAAATCAATCTCTCATTAAAATTACATGTCAGGTTTTAATACATTTATTTGTATTGGGTAAAAATTTGTGAACTCTTCCTTCTTGACATAAGAGAATCCGGTGCTTAGTACACTGCCTTTGGATTTAGACCAGACTTTGATACTTTGGTTTGCTGCAGACTATGCATGACCTTGGACTTAAATCTCTCTGTACCTCAGTAAAAGATAAAGCTGCTGTATTTTAAAGGCATGGTGAAGGGAACTAGACTTAAGACTGTGTGGAGCTCAAATATGATCAAAGCAAACATTACACAGCTCATAGAGGCAGGTAAATAGTTGATACATATTGGATGACTCAGCAACAATGCACAACCTGAGTCGTGGCCAAATCCAAGTAATTGATCAAAATCAATGACAGCAAGAAATCTAGCCTTCTAGGGGGAACAGGAAATATAAATAAACATGGTATTTCAGCTAAAAATATAAAAATTATATTAAGCCCAATTTGAAAAAGCTGATTTTAAAACTATTCTGGTGACATAAGTTTCTATTTAGCTTGCTGGTTAATTTTTTTTTTTTTGGTAAGGCAACAAAATAGATTATATGTCAGTGACCATTGTGGAAAAAACGGCAGATGTGGGTTTGTCACCAGAAATGGTTCTATTGATTTTATTGAGTGTTTCAAGATCAATGTGTCGTATTTGAAATTTAACACTCCTAAAAATTAGCATACGTGGTTTTCTCTATCTAAATGAAACTATAAAAAAAAAAGCATAAAAATTAAATAGAACTTAATTTCTTTTGAGATAAAACATTAAATGTTTCTTTTCATTGAACTTACCTTGTATTCAGCATTGAAAGTCATATTGCAACATCTTAATTCATCATCATCTCTTTGAACCAAACATTAGGCTGCCTCTTCTCACTGTTAAATAATGTAGACTGATCCAACTGGCAAATCCATCCCTGGAGAGAAAACAAAAATCATATGACAAGAATACTATTTTTATTTGCTTTGTTAATCACTGACACAGCATAAAATCAGGCCCTGGAGGCTTCATCTTTTTAGTGAAAAAAATCAATTTAAGTGTCCCCAGTTCAGCACAACATTTCATCTGACTCTGTGCTATTAAGTCAATTGTTACCCCCCTGGCCAATACAGCATTCAAGTTACAATGCAATTTCAGCACATGCTTTAAATGCTTTGGTTCAGCAGGGACACAGCTTTCCAATATCAGCCCTTCCTTATCAACACTGTGATTTTCCCTAGTAATTCTCTACTTTGGAGATTATCAAAACATTACTCATGTAATGAGTAATCTTCAGCATTAGCTAGGCACTCTAATAAAACTTTCATTAAAATATTGCATTACATGTGGTAGTAAAATTACTTTAATTAATTAATCTGTCATTTAGCAGACAAAATAGTAAATGAAAATAAGTAGGTGTAATAGAATAGGATGGAATGAAAAAGAAAATAGCTGAAATAAATAGCTGCTAAATTCACAAGGTAGGAATTCGAGAAACACAACACTTCAACCAGAAAAGGCTGACTGTCTTAATATTCAGCAGTGGAATGAGTGGGCATTTGGGGTAGAAATGTGACTTAAAGACATAAATATTTTGGCATTAAAAGTCTTATCAGACCAAGGAGCAACTGAAATGGGAAGAGGAAACCTGGAGATGTTAATTGTGCACACACAGTTTTAAAGGGTTGACAAGAAGAGACTCTCTTTTCCTTTGCCCTGGCCTGTAGTAACCTGAGACAATAATTTGTGAAACTGAGGATTTCCAGGGTGCTGTACAGAGGAGACAAAGCATGAGAAATGTCAAGTATATCAAATGGAAGTACTTATCTAGAACAGTTTAAAAAAAAAAAAAAGAAAAAAAAAAGGGGGAGGTATTTATTTCCTAACTTAGTTTACCATCCCACTACCTATCACAAGGAACAGAGATGTTAATATTAGTTATACCTCCAAAAGTCTTGTCTGTGCTCTGGAAGTGGCTGTGTGAGTACTTTCTCTTAATTAAAAGGGAGAAAAGTAGTAAATGACCATTTACAACAAAGTCTGCAATTTTGGAGGAGAGAGGTTTTAGAACTATTCAGAGATGTTTATATACAACATGAAATGCCTTTGGAAATTTGAGTCCAAAAGCTAAGAGTAAACAAAGATGCTGTTTGCCAGGAAGGCGCTAGCGCAAACTTTACTTTCTATAGTGAAGACTGATTCTTGGATAAGAGTACACCTAATAGGGAAACCAGGAATGACAAGGACCAGGGTGCATTGATTGGTAACAGGTTCATTAAAAAGTGGTTCTTAATGCGTAATAAAGTGGTGGGACTCCTTTCCATGATATACTGAAAAAAAAAAAAAAGTTTATGTTGGTTTGAAAGAGACTTGACAACTAAATAGAAGGAAAGTCCATCAAGGTTCACTGAATGAATAGAAACCAACTCTGCTACATGAAAAGTCTTTGAGCAGCAAGTGATGAAAGCCCCAGAGAGGATCAGTTTGCCCTCTTCTCTTCCCCAAAGTGCCTGCCTCTAGCTGCTGGCTCATTTTCTTTGGATCTTCCTTTTCTGTCAAAAGGTATATTTCTATCCTATCCACAAACAAGTTTCCATTCTCTAAGCATTAGAAACAACGCAACAATTTGGCTATTTGACTTCACAAGTTGTCTTCTAGTATATGCTTGCAGAACACATGAGGAGGTAGCCTTGCAAGTAAGAATAAAGTCAATTTTTAGGAAATTGTGCCTTACATGACATTCAGCAATTTGAAGGTTGTAATTTAATTGCTCAAAGGATGTCCAGGCTGCAGTGTCAGCATGTGTGGGGCTACCACACAGGCACAACTTGCATAAGCCTTCTCCTGCCATGACTCAGCAGCAGCAAAGCCCTTTTTAGCAGCAGTAGCCACTGCTGTTCCATAATTAAAAGGTCTGAAAAAGGGATAAAATAAATTCTTAATGCTGCTGCCCACTTTAATAACTCATTAAGGGCACAGATATTAGCCAGATCCAACTGTCACACATCATCAGGATCGAAAAAAACATGATCTGTTTGGGTAAAATCTTAGAGAGCACAAAGAGAGCTGTAAGAGCTCTGGCAAAGACAGAAACCTTCAGCTGCCGGTTTAATTTGTGTTAGCTAACCAGATACTACTTCTGTCTCATCTAAAGATACTTTCAGAAGAAGCAAACAAGAAAATCCTCTACTGCAACTTAAGTGACTCAGCAGTAACAAACATCACCTCTCTCCATGGGAAACAAAGTGTTGTATTTGTCACAGCTGATCTTAGGAAAAGGCTGTCAGCTCAAAACATGGTGTCGTGGGGTTTCCTTAACAGCCAGGTGACTAAACAAAATGAAGGGGAATTCCTGCCTAGACAACATCTGTTTCTTCATTTTGACCCATTCCCTCTCCCTTCCCTGTTAAGTCCTTCAGCACCCGGGATCCATGCAGCTGGGCACAGGAGCTTTCCCATCTGAGTCAACCCAGCAGAAGATTTCCAATTCTGGCAGTGTGCCGTGGAGGGACAAAGACCTCCAGCACAGCGAGACTGAATTTCATGTGAAAAATGTTTGCATTAACTGTTTCAGCCACAAATTCTTGAAACTCTGGGGAACAGGAGGACACTTCCTCCTTTTTTCCCCATTCTGAAGAATAACCTAATGCACCATATGACATTTGTCTCTTAAAATGCATCTATAAGAAATCTAATAAAAACTGCGTTTTCTCCTTTATAATTACTATATGAGCAACATACACATAAGGCAATCCAGAATTAGAGTTCATCCTGAATATTATTTCAGGTATCTTGCTGAAAATGCTCCATGCAAACACCAATTTAGATAAAAACAAGCAAGTAAAGTAGTTATATTATTTGTTTCTGACATAGATCACTTAGCAGTATAAAAAGCCTTCCATGACCAGGAAGCTGGTCATATCTTCACCTCAGATCATAATATTTCTGACTTTAACTATGATTGACTGAAGAATTAAACATGTGCTAAAGAATTTAGTATATATATGTTCTATAAAACATAATCATCAGAATTGAGAAACCAGCATTCAAGTTCAAATTATTGTCCTCCTTGGCACACGTTTGCCTGTTTTCCTTTTAGTTCTTCTGTCTCAACACAACCTGATCACTTTTTCCATCAGCCTCTGTTTTTGCTTCTGGAGAGATCCTTGCTTCCATCATTTCTTCTCGTTAAATGTTTTTCCTTTCCCTTCTCACCTCCTTTAAAGTGAGTATGAAAGAAACACCTTTAGCCAACTCAGCCTGCTAGCCTTAAGTCCTTCATAATTTCCCTGTGGCTTGTGGACTTGGTGGATAATGAGATCCCCTGCCACCAGGAACTCGATCAACTCTCTTTTTCATCACCTCCTGTCACCATGACAGTTGGGAGTGCTCCTGAAAAAGACAGACAGCCAAGCCAAAGTGGAATCCTTTTTTTCCAGCTAAATCTTTTGTTTCCAACGACAAGAAATCTCAGAGCTTCTCAGAAAAGGGACCTGTTTCAACATGCCAGGAAAACCTTGTGTTTGAGACACCGGCATGTGAGATCTGGTGGGACCCCTCTTCCCATGTAGGAGGAACAACAGATGCAGGCTGCAAAAGAGGCAAGTGCCTTCCTACCAGCTGTCTGTGCCATGGCTCTGTTCACTGGTGCAGATTGTTAAAGGTCAGAACAAGGAAAAAAACCCACTATTTTCTGGAAGTTAGGAACTGTGCTTGTCTTTTGGATTGCACATCCCAAACATGAGATTTATGGCCTGGACCCACTTCAAACCCACCATGTAACAGAGTCAGAGCTTGCTGTCTCTTAGATTACTTTTGTGCAGTCTGAGCACTACCAAATAGTAGACAGGGCAATGGAAAAAACAAAAAAGCATCGAAATCCAAAAGTCATAACTCACTGATGAAATATGTGATTGCCAAGGCACTGAAAAACCTCTGAGGACCAGAACCTGACTGAACTTTAACAGAATCGGGGTAAGCCTCTGTTGAAATTGGAGTGTAATATCCTTCACAGACTTCTTTAGCTTACAAATACTTGCAATGTAGAGGTCTCAATTTACAGCTGTTTGATAAATATGAAAATAAATAGCAATTCCAGGTGCAAAATGCTAAGGAGCAATTGCTCTTAAAATCAGCTCTGGTGATGAATTAGTGCATTTGGAAGCCATCCATGCTCTTCTGGATCTGATTAGGGGTGGCAACTTCTGCTGGTAGTGCAAATGATTATCAGTAGCAGCAACAAAAGGCTTTTTGAACTCTTCTGTGGATGAATTTCCAGCTGAGCTGTCTGGGCACACCTACCAAAGCAAACCAAGAAAGAGAGAATAAGCAGTGTCTAGGGCCCATTAGGAAGAAGATGAAGGAGGCATGGCCCTAAAACTCCAGTCACTGAGTCATACTCATTTCCTAATTTTTGCCCCTTTCCTTGGCTCCTGGCAGTCACACAATGTTCCACTTGTGCAGGACTACAGAACATGGATTTGCCAAAGGAGAAGAAATTCTAAGCTTGCTTTTTCATAAAGAAAATAGGGTTGTCCTCTTAAACTATATCTGCTGCTTCCTACTTTTATGTGCAGTGGTATTAGAAAGAGGTTTTTGTACTTTTACAAAGGTTTTAGACACAAGCTACTTAAAAAAAAACCAAACATGAAGAGAACAGAATCAGTTTCCAAATAGAAGTATGCCAGGACAAAGCACTGAAATCCATGTGCTTGTTGCACTTGGGTAGCTCCTGATATTTTGGGCAAGAGAAATTCCTGCCGGAACAACTATGCTCAGGAGGGGAGCAGGGTGTAGACCCCCCTGCCCACCCAGGGTGCCAGAGCCAAGCAGCTCTGATGTTTTCCTGCTGATACACAAGTTTTCTCAAAAGCTTATTAAAAATGCTACAAATGCACAAGATCCAGTAGTCCCTGGGCAAACCCACAGCATTAACCA